GTTGTTGATGAGTTGGTTGTTATTCTCAAATGTGGAAAATCACAGTAATAAGGTATGAGAGGGTGTGTCCAAACTTTCCACTGATATACAGTATAATGCAGCCCAGGCGTGTAAAGATCTGCCCACAGTGTGTTTTTATGACAATTACAAAATCCCATTTCTATTGGATGGGTGGGCGGGTCATCATCTTTTAGTGAGCTCTTGCTCTTTTTTTACTGTTCTTAACCGTGTACTAAACATTTCAAACAAGGGCTCCTAAAAGTGTTTTCATGTACAACCTTGCAGTTCATGTAGGATGAACAACAGGCTTGTCAATTTCTAAACCCTCCTTTTGAAATGGCTTTTCATTTCATTACCTTTTGTTCGGCCGGAAGTCGTCAATGGATTTATGCTCAAACCTGCTGGAATGCTGTTGGTTTAGGTGAATCATTTGCTCAGCGTTGGTGGATTTAAAAGGCCAAGAGACTGGAATGGCATGGGTCTAGAAATGTCTCACTGCAGTTTTACTTCCACAATGAGTATGTTATGAATGTTTGGAGAAAGATAATATTGTGCTTTGTCATCGATGCATTTGCAATTCAAATCCACTCACGCATAATGTGCAAGAAACAGTGCTCACAGAAACGATTTGTTTTTTACCTGTGGGTAATATTTTGTGGCTTTGTTAGTGACGTGACGGACTGTGTTGTAGAAAGTGTTTGAAACATCTTGCAGGTGGAGTACATGTTGGTGGAAATGGATGACAAAAATGGAAAAGTCCGCCTAGTTCTGAACGGGAAGGATGTTTTGGAAATCCTTCAGGAAAAGGGTGAAAACATCAACCCCAAGTGAGTAACCTTTCTAAGTGGGATTTATTGTGTGTCACAAACAAAAATTGGTTGAAAAGGTTTAAAACCAGGTCAGATTTATCCATAAGAATATGCATATTTTGGTATCATATTCAGAGTTTTGCTACAGGGTCACTGAAAATAGCAGGTTTAGCTGCAACTGTGTTTAAAAAGAATTTAAAAAAACGTCTAGCCCTTATTGCACCCATTGCTGATTAATTTGAAAACTGGGTGACCCACTTGAACCTCAGCCAGTCAGCCAATCCCTCTTTTATGCACGCGTCTAATCCGTCAACAAGATCGATCGTATCGTTTGTACCTGTACTTCTTGTATTTTTAAACGACGGTTTCATAAGAGTCAATTGAAGCAGTTGGTTTGGACAGCATAAGCTTGATTTGAAGTAGGGATTTGCGATATTTCGATATATTGCACAGCCCTAATTTCAAGTTTGATAAGTTGTTATATAGGAGGTAGGAATGGCCTTTTTATTTTTCCGAACCTGTTTACACGAGCTCATCTGAGGCCAAGTGCTACTGTATAGCTGTTGTAGCTCAGGGGGAATAGCAGCATGCGATGGGAAACGAGAGAGCCGTGGCATTCCTCATTACTGCCTCTCTGCTGCACATACTGAAGAGCGTAGCGCCCCGTCCCAACCAGTGTTGGGTAACTTACTCTAAAAAAGTTATTAATTACTTGTTGCTAATTACATCTGCAACAGTGTAATTAGATTACTGTACAAATTACTCTCTCCAAAAAGTATTTAATTACTTATTACTAATTACTTTCTAAACCTCGACAAGTTAATGAATCATACAAGGATAGACATGAAACGTTCTTTTGATTCTTTCAAATAAATAATACATAACTACATGAATTATTCTGGTCACACTTTAGATTATGGTCCAGTTCTCACTATTAACTATTTTAACTATACTTTTGCCCCAATATACTCCTGATTACTGCTTATTAATACTTAGTAAAGTAGTTGTTGACAATTATGTTTAGGAATTGGGTAGGATTAAGGATTTAGAATAAGGTGTTGCAGAATAAGACATTAATATGTGCTTTGTAAGTAATAGTAAACAGCCAATATCCCAGTAATATTCATGCTAATAACCAACTAGTTAATAGTGAGAATTGGACCCTAAAGTGTTACCAATATTCTTATTAATTCACCAAAGTATTTAAAGTGAGAAGGGTTCATAAAAAGCATGCATTTTAAGGTTAGACTTAAAATTTTGATGTTAAATCCACTATTGTATTGTATTTAAATGTATATATGAATATTACGTTCAATGACATAAGAAGTAATTAAATTACAGAAAAAATAAGCGTAATCCCATACTTTACTTTTTCAAGGGAAAATTAATTTAAATTAATGGAGACATATTATGTGCCTTTTTACAATATGTAATACAAGTCTCTGGTGTCCCCAGAATGTGTCAGTGAAGTTTCAGTACACAGATAATTTATTATATCATTTTGAAAATGCCTATTTTGAGTGGAAGCAGAAACACACTGTTTTTCGGGCCTGTCTCTTTAAATGCAAATGAGCTGCTGCTCCCCGCCCCCTTTTCCAGAATAGAGCTGAGCCATTACAGCTCAGACCTGCTAAAAACAACTGTTTTGGTTCTGATTATCATGTTTATTGAGCTGAAATACGGTTTTCTGAGCGCACACAGCCGAAGCACACGCACAGAAAGCGGCTGTCACAGCATGTGAGTACTAAACTAAGTTCTCATTCACACACAAGTTTACGTTAAAAACACACATGACTTACAAAAACAGTCGGTTATGTCTGTGAAGGTAAACAGCTGCGAAATAAATCGCATGTTCGTTTTAGATCTGTGTGGCAGCAGCAATATACAGTAAATAAATCAATAAAACCACTGCTCTCTTGTCTCATCTGAGGCTGGGACTCTAATAGTGTTCTGTGCTCGTCTGTGCAGCCAAAGACAGAACAGTTAGGATGCTTTGCTCAAACTTTCACCATGGCATTAGAGCTGGTACACCGTTGTCGCTTGCGAAATCAAAATGAGGGTGCCGTGGGTGAAAACTTACAGATTAAGGGCCGGTAATATTATAATAAGATCCCTTTGCCACGTCACCAAGGGAGTGAAATCAGATGCGCTCGTTTTCTCAGACGCTTGCAGAAAAAGGCTTCCCAAAACAAAGTTACTGGGTTAATCTTTTGGATGAAGAGACAAAATATTGATCTCTTGCTTTGTAATGCCTTTTTGTTTGAGTTTTCTTACTAGTTGATTGTCAACCTTGCACATCTGCAGCCACCCCACTCTGTGGAGGCCGGAGTATGGCAGCTACATGATCGAAGGGACCCCCGGGCAGCCGTACGGAGGGACCATGTCGGAGTTCAACACGGTGGAAGACAACATGGGAAAGCGAAGGAGAGAAGCCGCATCTGTGCTTAATAAGAACGAGACTCTCCTCACAGTTACATCATTTCCCAGGTAGTTATATCATCAACCCTTAACTGTAATCCAATAGTAATATCCATATCCAGTCATAAGGATACATTTTTTGAAATTGAGATTTATACATCATCTGAATGCGGAATAAATAAGCTTTCCATTGATGTATGGTTTGTTAGGATAGGACAATATTTGGCCGAGATACAACTATTTGAAAATCTGGAATCTGAGGATGCAAAAAAATCTAAATATTGAGAAAATCATCTTTAAATTTGTCCAAATGAAGTTCTTAGCAATGCATATTGCTAAACAAAAATTAAGTTTTGATATATTTACGGTAGGAAATTTACTAAATATCTTCATGGAACATGATCTTTACTTAATATCCTAATGATTTTTGGCATAAAAGAAAAATCGATAATTTTGACCCATACAATGTATTTTTGGCTATTGCTACAAATATACCCCAGCGACTTCACACTGCTTTTGTGCTCCAGGGTCACTGTCTTTACATGTAGATTCAGGGTTTCGCATTGGGCACAGAACTTTTATTATTATTATATTGTAACAGTTTTCTTGACATAAGATGTTTTTCCTGGTGATATTGTCTTAGTGGGTGACCTTTTTCAGGGCTTAAAGTTCTCCGGCACCGGAAACACAAATTTACCGGGATTTTTGAAAAGTTCCTGTTCACGCATGATTAATGGTAACTTACCGGTAATTTACCAGTACTGTATGTGTGAAAGGGGCTAAACTCTTCCTCTGTATATGCTGTGAAGTTGAATTGCTTAACATTCATCTGGGAAAACAGTGTGCATTATCTCACTAGATTTGTAACGTAAATCATTTATAAACCTTTGTCAACACAGAAGAATACATCAACCTATTTCTAAATATGCCATTTATTGTACATCGCGATTTCAAAATAAAAGTTTCTGAGTTTCCATGTGCCCAAATATTAAAATTGAATGGATTTAAACATCGTTTAATCACCTCTGCAGGTATTTATTATAATACATAATGTACTTAAGTTGGTTATGTTCATATTATGTATAGGCATATTACATTATGTATTTTAACAGTGTTGTTGGATAAAACCATGTAATTACTTGGTTTTGATATTTTATTTGAGCCAATTATTATTGCCTCATTGTTAGTTTATATATAAATAGTCATACTAAAGCTTGGTTTTCACTTAGGTTTATTTGTGTTACTAAAAAAACATCAGAATCTACTATCACATTAGTAGATTACTTGATTACCAAAATAATCATTAGTTACAGCCCTAGATTAGTTAAAATATTTCAAAATCCAACTGCATTGTTTTACTTTTTGTAATTAAAACACAAACATTTTGCCATTGAAGATTTCTTAAAAATAGTATTAAAATATTGTCTTGTTCTAGGGAACCAGGTGTCTGTATTTTGTCTCATCTCGTGAGCTAAGTGTATTGTCACACCCCTAGTGTCGATAAGCGGTGATATAGCTAATAATTTTCCAAGTGTATGATACAGCTTTCATTCTTCAGGTCAACCATATATTCATGAAAAAAATCAGTTTGAATAAGGAAAGCGATAACTTTGCCATAGTATCCTTTCAAATGTTAAAGAAAGTACCCCCGCCCCACCCCTGGAAAAAAGTTCAGTCTCAGTTTTTTTTTTTGCTTAAACCTGGCTGATTTTTGTTTTGATTTTTGTTTCATTTATATGAACTATTACAGCTTTAGCAGTCTTTGCATTGCGTATTGTTGCGGAAAAAGTTCAAGCATTTGCTTCTAAGCACAAAACCCCTGGCTGTTTGAGTGATTTGGGTGTGCCGTATGTGTGTAGATAACATTCACCCTTTACCCCAAACACTTTATTGACCCTGATAAAAGATGCAGGCTTATATTTGTCTTTCCATGCTATTAAATGCAAATGTGTGCATTTCTGAATTGCAGTGCGTGGTTATGTTTTTCTCTTTGTGTTTTGTGTGTTTTAGGTTAGGCTGCCCGGGCTTCACTCAGCCAGAATACAAACCCACACCTGTTGAAAAAGGGGTGTCCAAATCGCTCTTCTTCCCCGACGAGGCCATAAACAGACACCCTAGATTCAGGTGAGAGATCATGTGACCTGTCCTTATTCGTTTCAGTTCCTGAATCCAGCTGAACTCTCTCTGATTTCATGTCGAAATGGGCCGTCGTGAGTCCGGCGGTTTTGCGTTGCAGCTGAAAGTGTTTGAAGTGACGTGTAACGCAGAACAGTGTGAAGTTGTTTGCGTAAGCTGGAGCTCAGAGGCATTACAAGGGGATTATGGGGAGCCCAGTTCAACAGACAATGATCGTTCACATACCAGTAGCCTAGAGCGTTTTACAAAGTACTGCTCATCTGTAGAATTGTTGGTGGTCACTTATATTTACAGTAAGTGAAGGATTTCTGCAAACCTGCACTGTTTGTGCTGCAGACATGAATTGTTTATATTATGGATTTATGTATGGATCCTTTAGGTAATGAATGCATCACTAACAGATCTCGTTTGTTGATGTATTACAGCACTCTGACCAGAAACATACGCCACCGGAGGGGCGAGAAAGTGGTGATAAATGTACCAAGTAAGTGTGTTGTGTTTTTTTTGTTTTTGTAAATGATTGACTTCTGTTTCTCTTGTTGAAAGTCAGTCTTTCTCTGGAAATAAAATGAACAGTGTATGTGGTTTCATTTGATCTACTCCTAATGTGAGTGAATGAGTTTATATTATGATGACCCAGAAACTTGAGCACTACCCAGTGGATACACTGGAGATTTTCTCAACATACTGTTCAGTAGCTCTTCATGTACGCTGAGCAGGTGCGACACGACGAGATTCTAAATACGAACCTGTTATATAATGTGCAGTTACAATAGCGGTCAAAACTTGCAATCATTAAGAAGTCTCTTATGCTCACCGAGGCTACTCTTATTTAGTCAAAAATGCACTAAAACACTGATATTGTGAAATATATTTTCAAATGTATTCCTTTTAATGATAAAGCTGAATTTTCAGCAGCCATTACTCTAGCCAGGTGTATGTTTTTGCATATGGTTGCCATGTTGGGAAGATTAAGTAAACCACTGGACAGAAAATATATTGGTTCATGGTAAAAAAAAACAAAAAACTCTTTATTAGGGGAAATCTGGCAACCACAGCCATTAAAGCTTGTGGAGACTTATCAGTGCAAGGTAATACCAAAGTAAAATGAGACTCTTTCAGGATAATTAACCAGGAGGTAGCCTAAGTATTGCAGACCATTATTCTTACTATATCAAGATAAGCAGAGATCATGATCACAATTAAAATATGATTCATTGTGGAGCCCTATCTGAACTGATTCAACGCTAACCTGAGCCAAATAATGACACCATTGTTTTTTTTAAAGCTGCTTTATAGCAGAATATGAACTGTCTCCATATTTGATTCTGTTATTTTCTTGTTAGTCACGTTGAAGCAGCTTTGACACAATCTGTATTGTATAAAGCTCTACAGTAATAAAGGTGACTTGACTCTGCTATATTGTTATCCTATGTTGAAAACCATTCCTGTAGAACAGGATTTTGGTCAAATGAGATTTCACAGAGGGTGATATGCCGTAAAAGCAAAATCAAATGGCATGGAGAACGCCGCTGTTCATATTGCAGCAAGCTAGGAGAAAGATTTATGTGGAAGACGGTGCTTTTATTGCTCAGTAGCACACTCCGCAACATGTCAAGTCTGTGGTGCATGTGATTATTAAAAACCAAATCAAGATGTTTATTATATTTCTGCATGTTTTCAATTGCTTCTCTTTTTCGACTTGCATGTCCTTAACAGTTTTTAAAGATAAAAACACCCCGTCTCCTTTCGTGGAGACGTTCGCGGAGGACGATGGAGAAGCTGTCCGGGGAGCCCTGCCTGATCACATCTACATGGACGCCATGGGCTTTGGCATGGGAAACTGTTGCCTGCAGGTAAAATGTCTTTTCCTCCCACAAACCTGACCGTTGTTGCCTCTCACTGATTTGCACTGAAGTGACGTTGGTTGACATTAGACCGATGTTGTCCGCCGCTGTCATTGCAGGTGACCTTCCAGGCCTGCAGCATCAGAGAGGCGCGCTACCTTTACGACCAGCTGGCCACTTTCTGTCCCATAGTGGTAAGAGCACACGGTACAACAGAACACGCTGTCCATGTGAAAAGGGTCCAAAAAAAGAACGTAAACTTTGCTTCACAGAACAAATGACAATTAATCACTGCATGTTTATACTGTTAAATTAAGCAATAAGCCCCAAGAAGCCGTGGTTTACAGTGAATTTATAACAGCTGAGGGGCGTTGTTAGGCACGACGTGAAGCGAACCCCCTTAGCTGTTATAAATTCATCGTAAACCACGGCTTTACGGGACTTATTGCTTTTATAAAACGGTTATTCCATATACATAGTAAGGTTTCACAGAATAAAACAGAGCAAATAAAGTGTAATGATGTAAATAAAAACTGTATTCTTCCACCAAACAATGTAGTTCCTCACAAACAGTTGTGGTTTCAACAAAGTAGTTGCTGAGCAACACACAAAGTAAACCAAGGTGTGTGTTTGTAGAGTAATTTACAACACCTTCGAGCGTGGCTCAGCCAATCAGAATCAAGGACCGGAACTATCCGCTTTATAATAAATTGTATGTAGATGTGGGAAAAGGTCGCATGCTTTTATGCATGATGTGGTTGCTTGTAAGAGGGAGATGTGTGGTACACTACCGCATTCAAGAAAATAAAAAAGAATCAAATTACGTTTTAAGATCCCAAACTTTTAAAGGGCGTCTTCTAACTTGACCTTAGTTGAAAATTGACCATCTTTACCACACACGAAGTACTATATAACCCACCCTCATCTTTTTCACATTCCTGTGTGGGTAGCGGTTGTACAACCTTTTAAGATGCTTGTAGATGTTGCACTCAGAAGTTGTCTTTATTGCGGTTGGTGTTTGTGCAGATGGCTCTCAGCGCTGCCTCGCCGTTCTATCGGGGCTTCGTATCAGACATTGACTGCCGCTGGGGTGTGATCTCTGCGTCTGTGGATGACCGAACCTCAGAGGAGCGGGGCCTGGAGGTGACAACGGGATCCCGTCTTCACATTTTTCTGCTTTGGCTGGTGCTGGAGCCGTTGCTCGGATCTGGCCTGTGTTTCCACTGGCCGAAGAGCCAAATGTTACGACATAACCTGCACACAAACAAACAAAAAAAAGATAATAGTCATAGACCATATTCATAAGTAAATAGATTTCTATAAGGAGACAAGAGCTAATGAAAACTGACCTAGGCTGGGTTCCTTGCGCAATGTAAGGAGCAAATTTTGGAAAAAAATTATTTAATAAATAATAAAATAATAGTGTTTTTTGACTCCCAATTCCTTCCACTAATCATACAAGTAATTTTATAATTATAGGCTGCATGATAATAAATAGATCCTCCCAATTCAGTAATGATTACAGACATCAGTCGTCCCAGACTTGTGAATCATACATGGAGTAACAGACAGCCTCTGTTAATCATTTTAAAAGAAAACTAATCCCATCTAATTGATGCCTTTGAGAACTTTTTTTTTTACACACTTTATATGTGACCTGTGCTGGCAAAAACAGTCTGATTGTGCACGGGGCAAATTTTGAGCTACAGGCAAAAAAACTGAAAAACTTTGAGGTTTTCACAAAAATTAAGCCCTTGTCTAGTGATCCCAGTTTTCCAAATAATAATTAAACATCTAAAATTATCTTTATTTGTACGTTTTCTGAGAGGAGAATGTAAAAATAAAATGGCAAATTTTCAAAAAAAAAAAAAAAATTTCATTGTGACTCATTTTGCCAGCAAAGGTCACATATAATGTCTGATGTTATTTAAATATGTAAAAGGAAAAAGAAAAACCTCATCACACTCAATTTTGATCATAAATAATGAAATAGCTTAAGTACAAATGTTTACTGTCAAATGACAATAAAATCTGCATGTATAATAATTAACGAGGCTGTCGGTAGATCTGACTTCTGATGTCAAGAGTTATCAGCCAAGGCCAGTGCTCTCAGAATAGACCAACATATCGGCCAAGCTGATTAATCAGCGGATGTTTGGATATCACTAGTTTTTGAAGTTGAGCTTGTCATGTCGACTGCCCATGTTCTTGTGCGTTTCATAGACATGGTTAAAAATGAATTCTGTCTCTGCAGCCGCTGAAAAACGACAAATTCCGGATCCATAAATCACGCTATGATTCGATTGACAGCTACCTCTCCTGCTGCGGTGAGAAATACAATGACATTGAGCTGACCATCGATGAAGATATCAACAAGCAGCTCCTAGATGCAGGTAAAGAAACAAGCACTGGACACGTCAAAACTGTCTTTGTCCTCTTGTCAAAAGACGCTGCGACCCCACTGTAGACAGCATCATTACTTATAATGGGTTCTGTTTGCTTCTGATGCGACACGGCGCTCGCATGCGGTGTAGAGAATCATTGAAGCAGGCCTCCTGTCAGCTCTGTGTGTAGTATTTTCAAGCGCGCTGTACTGCTCTGTTGCAGGCATTGACAGACTGCTGGCACAGCACATTGCGCATCTCTTCATCCGCGACCCGCTGTCACTCTTCCAGGAGAAGATTCATTTGGATGATGAGAACGAATCGGACCACTTTGAGGTGAAGTTAACATCTGATTTTTATTGTTCTAGCAAATTAAAAAATTGATCAGCAGAAACAAAAGAAAAAAAGAAATGTCAGTGTTTGACCAGTTTTCACTCACTTTGGTTAAAATTGCATGCGTGTTTCAGAACCTTCAGTCAACCAACTGGCAGACAATGAGGTTCAAGCCGCCCCCTCCAAACTCTGACATCGGATGGAGAGTCGAGTTCCGTCCAATGGAGGTATTAAACAAACAGCCGTCTGCCCGCTGTCTGTCTGTGTGCCAAATGATGCAAGCAGACGCGGCTTGACTGGATGTGTGCTTAACAAAGCAGACGTCAGTACTCGGCCACCTACAGTTTATTCAAGCACAGCACGCAAAACTCACAGAATACACACACACACACCGTATAATGTGAATTTTATCTAATATAATGTAACTCACGTAATTATAAAATACAACGTGGACTAAATGTGGACTGGTTTGATTTTATTTTATTTTCATAAGTGACCCTGGACCACAAAAGCAGTCTTAAGTCGCTGGGGTATATTTGTAGCAATAGCCAAAAAATACATTGTATGGGTCAAAATTATCAGTTTTTCTTTTATGCCAAAAATCATTAGGATATCAAGTAAAGATCATGTTCCATATAGATATTTTGTAAACTTCTTACTGTAAATATATCACAACTTAATTTTTGATTAGTAATATGTATTGCTAAGAACTTCATTTGGACAACTTTAAAGATGATTTT